CATTTTAAATAGTATGGTAATGTTTATACTGGGTGTGGTTCAGTGGCAGTCTATGAAGGTCAATTTCAAGTTGACATGGTACAACAGTGACATCAATGTAAATCAAATATCAAATATTATATCAAATATAATGATAATCAAATATCTTTTATTATTACAGTATTAGGGTTTGGTAGGGCAATTCTTTCCTAAGAAAGAGGTTTTTAATAAGAATGCATTTATGGAGTTTTTATAGATTATTACTTTTTTTCCTCTGAACTTTACAAGAAAATAAAATTGTACAGTGAGCCACCAGTTGTAATTGGGACATCTCTGTTTCTCGTGTTTCATAATTAGTAGGTCTCTGAAATGCCACCTCACCCTGTAGGTGTAACAGCCTGGATTGGAGGCTGGGGAGTCTAATTCTACAGCTGTTCTTTTAGCCACCATGGTGTAAGTCAAAACCTCTCCCTGGGCTCCAGGTGGGATATTTATCTTCCTACTTGAAATTTCCACTTGTATGTCTAATTGGCATTTCAAATTTACTGTGTATATACAAAAAGAAAAAAAAAAAAAAACCCAACAACTCAGTTTCTACCACATGCTGCATCACTCCAAACTGGCTTCTCTTCTGATCTTTCCCATCTCATTTAATGGCACTAAGATTCATCTGGGTGCCCAGGACCAAAAGCCTTCTTTGCCTTCTCTTTTTCTCTCCCTCACATCTAATCCATTAGGAAGCCTCATAGGATCTACCTTTATTATGTATCTTGATTTTGACTCTTTTCTGCACTTCCATGGTATGCATCAGCCCTTTCCTGACTGGATTATAGCAATAACCTCCTAGTTGATTTCTGTCTTCAGTTCTGTCCCCCTGCCTCCTATATATGCTCCACACCACAGCTAGAGTGATATTTTTTGCTTTTGTTTTTAAGACCTAAAGTTGCATGAATCATAATTTTACAGCTTCCGGAATTTTCAGAGTGATATATCCATTTAGCCAGTCTCCTGGGCAGGAAATATAACATTACCAGTTCTTCCAGAATCCTCCGTGTTCCTTTCCAGCCATGCCCTCCCTCCCTGCCATCCAAATAATCTCTGCTTATTTCTAATAAGCAGATAGTTTGGCTGCTTCTTATACTTCATATAAATGAAATTTAATTATACCAGATGTAGACAGCATAAGTATATCACAATGTATGTATCTGTTTCACTTTGATGGATAGTTGGATTTCTAGTTTGGGTCTATTTTAAATAGTACTGCTGTTAAGATTATTGTACATGTCTTTTGCTAAACATAGATAGTTAAGAGTCTCTGTTGGATCTATACCCAGGAATGGAATTGCTGAGTGAAATGGTAAGTGCAACTTCAGCTTCCATAGAAATTTCAAAACAGTTTCCCCAAAGTGGTTGTTTCCACCAGCATTATATGAGAGTCTTTCCACATCCTCACTAAGATTTGGTGTTACTTATCTTTTTCACTGTAACGGTTCTGATGAGTATGTAGTGATATCTCCTGATGTTAATTTACATTTTCCTGGTTACTAATAAAATCAAGTACCTCTTCACATGTTTATTGGCACTTGGATATCCCCTTTTATGAAGTTCCTGTTTGAGCCCTTTGCCTTATTTCTGGTTTTATTTTAGCCAGTGTGAGTGTGCCTTTTCTTATTGATTTGTAGGATTTTAAAAATAGATTCTGGGGGGAACCAGCAGTTAGCGTAATGGCTATGTCGCTGGACTCCCACGTAGTCGACCGCGGTTCGTGTCCCGGACCCAGTGGCTTAAAACTCACGCCGGGCGCGTGTGCGTGTGTGCCCAAGATCCCGAGAGGAGAATGGAGGAGAAGGGATTGCGGCGTGACCATCCCCCCTGGGGGGTGATTTCTCGCTTTCTGTCTCTATGTCTCTCTCTGTCTGGCGAGCGCACGCGCCCTACAGTGAAAATCTCTCCAAAAAAAAAAGATTCTGGGGACCAGCAGTTGGCGTAATGGCTACGTTGCTGGACTCCCATGTAGTCGGCTGCGGTTCTAATCCTGGACCCAGTGGCTTAAACTCACACTGGGCACTTGTGCCCAAGATCCCGAGAGGAGAGTGGAGGAGAAGGGATTGCAGCCTGGCCATCCCCCCTCAGGGGTGATTTCTCACTTTCTGTCTCTCTGTCTCTCTTTCTGGTGAGCACATGTGCCCTATAGCAAAAAAACTCCAAAAAAAAAAAAAGAAAGATTTTTTCATGTGCACACTTTGGTATTGGAATATCTTCTCCCACTCTGTGGCTTGCTAACTGGATTAATGGTGTCTTCCAACGAACAGAGTTTCTTAATTTCAGTATAGTACAAACTATCATTCTTTTCCTCTCTAGTTAATAATTTTCATGTCTTATTTAGCCAGCTTTGCCTATCTCAAGGTCACGTTTTCTTTTAAGTTTGCTGTTTTATTTATCACATTTAGTTTTACAATCTGTATGGAATTTTTTTTAGAGTTTTTTTGCCTTAGGGCATGTGTGCTTGCAGGGGGAGAGGGAGACAGAGAAACAGGCAGACAGTGAGAGGAAAAGTAAGAATTCACTTCCTGGGGTAATGAACACACCACAATCCCTTCTCCTCCATTCTCCTCTTGGCACACACATGCCCAGCATGATTTTCAAGCCACGGGGTTCAGGACTTGCACTGCGGTCAGTCACGTGAGAGTCCAGCAATGGAATTGCTATGCCATCCACTGGCCCCTATGAATATTCATTTGGATCAACAAAATTTTTTTGGAAAGATCTTGTCAAAGTGATAGTTATCTTAAATCAGATCATGAAATATCATTCTCAGAGTGACAGGTATCTTAAACTAGATCACAGAATGTCCTCCAGTCCAAAAACCTGTAGTGGTTTGCCACTGCACTTAGAATAAAATATACACCTGTCCCCCTGGCTCCTTGTCTGATGTCCCACCCTCCAGACTTCTCTCCCGCCACCCTCTTTGTCTCCCCTCTACTGTGGGCATACCGACCTCCTTACAGTTCTTCAGTCTTCCCGCCGCGGTGTCATTTCAGGCTTTCTCATGTGTGGTTCCTTCTGCCTGGAGTGCTCCTTCTCCACATCTTAGCCTGGATCAGTCCTTGTTTCATGCAGTTCTCTGCTCAAATGTCCTTTCCTCAGAAAGGACTGTTCGGGAACCAGCAGTTAGCGTAATGGCTATATCGCTGGACTCCCACGTAGTCGACCGAGGTTTGCATCCCAGACCCGGTGGCTTAAAACTCATGCCCGGCCCCTGTGCATGCGTGCCCAAGATCCCGAGTGGAGAATGGAGGAGAAGGGATTGCGGTGTGACCATCCCCCCCGGGGAGTGATTTCTCACTTTCTGTCTCTGTGTCTCTCTCTGTCTGGCAAGTGCACGCACCCTATAGCGAAAACCTCTCCAAAAAATTAAAAAAAGAGGAAGGACTGTTCAATCATCTCATCTAACACAAATGAGTAAATAATATAGAAAAGTCCTCTCTCTATATATGATGGCATTAACAATGTCTCTCTTAATATACTATAATTCTTTGAGGGGAGGGATTGTATCTTAATATCTCATTTGCTGCATAATTCATAAAACACAAATAGTATCTTAAGTATAATGTGCATGATAATTTATTATTTTTTCTGTTTTGTCTATTTTAGCCCCCCCAAATTTAGACTCTGATATAAATAATAACCTGGATGAGCTATGGTTGAACGTAAACTTCTCGTACTTTTAAAAAGAGTTGGAAGCACCATTGTAGCTTCAAAACTTATGAATTCATTTTTAACTATTTTATATAGAAACAATGCACAGGCTAAATTCAAACAAATTGTGTATGCTGGCTAAAGTGCTTAGAAGTTTTTAGTGACTTTATGTAGCCAGGCCCCATTTCTTCTCTACTGTTGGTATTAATTATAATTTAAGTTCATAAAGTTGCATATTTTCCTAAGAATTCTACAATCTAGATTTAATGAGTCTTAATTTTTTGGCTTTTATGCTTGAAGCTATTTTGGTGCTATTGCATATAATAAATTTTGGTTTTTAGACAAGAGTTAGACCTATCTCACATTTATTTGTTCATTCTTTGCCAAGACATTTATTTCTACTATTGATTGTATTTGGGTTCCTTCTCCTAAAGGCTTACACTAATTCTGATACATGTGACTCTTATTAATCAATCACCAAATATTATAAAATTGCAGAAGAGAAAGGGACATTTAAGATCATCTTATCCAGCCATAGAGGCTTTACTGGATCAGTTGACAAAGGAAGAATACAGTTGATAGATTAAACTATAAGGTCTATGACAAATTTCCTGAAGCTGATAACTGTGCTAAAGGTATATAAGAGAATAAACTTATTCTAAGGAAAAACATACTGAAATATTCAGGAACGAAGGTGCCATGCTATATACAACCATCTCCCAAATAATTCAGGGAAAAAAGTGTGTGTTTATGTGTGGACACATATATTCATGTACAGTGTGTGTGCGTACATGTGCATGCACACACATCAACAGAAAGGGACAAAAATATTGTAGGTGAATTTCAATAAAGGGTATATTCATGTTATTTGTACGATTCCTATCATTTTTTTCTAAGTGTGGAATTATTTTGTATAAACAGTTTTTAAAATCATTCTATACACCCCTGTGAGGAAAACATTCCGTCCTCATGACACTGATGTTAAGTAACATACCCAGTATCAAGAGAGTGAGAGACAGAACTGAGTTCTAGCCCAGTGTACCCTCTGTTATACTATGCCGGCTTCTTCTAGTAAATAAATAGTTATGAAACGCTAATCAGTACCTGTTGTGTGGTTACATGGGACATAGTCACGCTCACATATTAGTGGCATAGGATTGAGTATCTCTTTAAAATATTTTTGCTATTAACCTGGTCAGCCTCATAACCTCCAGCACTTACTACCTGGATACCTTGTTACTAAATATGCTGCCCATTGTAATAAGACATGGATATGTTTGCATTGTAACAAACAGTGCTTTCCTTCTTCTGTTTTTTAATAGCTACTGCTTCTTGGGATACCTTTCTCATGCTATGGAATTTGAAGCCGCAAGCTAGAGCTTACAGATATGTGGGTCACAAGGATGTTGTAACCAGCGTGCAGTTTTCTCCACATGGAAACCTAATAGCATCTGCCTCTCGAGACAGAACCATTAGACTCTGGATTCCTGATAAGTAAGAGAAACAAAGAAATACTTGCTATGCCATGGATTTAGAAACTTGCAAGAAAGCTGGTGCCTGGTTGCTCCTAATGCACTTCTGGGAGTGTCTGAACTCCCCTCTTACCTGCCTATGTTATACTTGATCTAAGTGGCTTATGAGATGAACTGCTCTTGTAAACTATTTTATACAGCTCTTTCTTCTTATTCTTTTGAAAACGTTTTCTAGCCATAGGAATATGTTTAATATGTCTTGAGTTTTGGGGAAGGTTGTGGTTATTGGTCCCTTTGTAATTCTGATGTAAGCTTCAGATCTCTTTGAAGAGAAACATACATCTGTATGTTTAATTCAGAGTTTATAGTTTATTAACCTCCTAACACCCATTCATGGATTTTTTTAGGGACCTTGGATTCTTGTGAAAGATTTCTATGCTAACACTATTATTCGATGTATATTGCTTTTTACTGAGCCCCAGAGTTTTTCTGTTAAAGAAAATTTTTGACAGAAGTTTAATCATTACATTTATGTAAGGTCATATCTTGTTATAATGACTCTATCGGAAACTTTTCAAACCTTAGTTGATAACCCATTCATTTTGAACAATTATCAAGCCATGATTTCTTTTGAAAAAATTTTTAGGGTGAGTCGATAACGTGGTGGTTAAGGCACTGTATCTCATACTGCCTACTGCATGGTTAAGGTCCCAGACTCCGTGGCTTGATAAAACATGCTACATGCATGTGCATGTGTGCCCAAAATCCTAAGAAGAGATTGGAGAAGAATGATTGCTGCATGGCCATCCCCCAACTTGGGGGTGCTTTCTTAGGCCCCACCTTGCCCGACCCCCATCTTTGTCTGGCAAGCACACATGCCTTATAGCAAAAAATTTTTAAAGTTAAACTTTCAAGCATTAAAATTGTCAAACACACATGAAAATAGAAGGAATAACACATTCCACCCTTCCCCCGTATACCCGTACTAACCAGCTTCGGCAGCTGTCAGTATTCTTTTTTCATCTATCCTCTACCATTGCCCTTTTTTTCTAAGTATTTTTAGAACAGTCTCCACACATTGTTATCATTTCCCTCTGTAAATACCGCGGAGAATAAGAATTTAAGGACTTCCCTTGGCTCTATTGTGGCAGGATTTGATTTCCAGCATGTTGCTGAAGAGGCCCAGACTCTCAAATAAAAGAAAGCTCACTGGGCATTCTTCTCCTAGCATTTTTTCCTGCCACCATCCAAGAGAAATTCCATGCTGAGAAATCTGAGTATTATTCTGATGATAGTAAAAACTTTTGAAGAGAATTGACAAGCTCTAATGACAACGTGGATGGCAACAAGGAAGGAAATAATAAAGAGAAATGAACTGGTTTCAGATCCAAGAGGAGAAGCACGTTCCCAAATCCTTAACTTGGGAACTTAAAACTATGATTTTTTTTGGCTGTCTTTAGCACAACTTTGTCTCCCATTACTAATTCAAAGAAATCTCAGTGAACAAACTGTAAAGGTAGATCAACTAAAAGCACACTGAATCATTAACTTGTAATGAGTGTAAGCACAGTGATGAAGCTTGTGTAGATGTCTCTAGGTTCTCTCTCTAACTCATGCTGTAGGAGGGCCAGGGCCAGGGTCACGATGGATCATGGCAATGGGAATGAAGTTAGTATATCAATTATCTGTTGTTACATAATAACTCCCCAAACTTAGTAACTTAATGTTAAAAACTGTCATTTCTTGCCATTTTGTGAGTTGTCTGGATAGTCCTCATGCCCCATTTGGTACTGGCTGAGATTACTCATGCAGTTTTATTAACCTGGCAGCTAGTCTGGACAGTCCGATGCATCACTCACATGCCTGGGGCCATGGTGCTGCTATTGGCTGCACACGTTGGCTGAAAGTACAGGTAAGTGTGTGGGAGGCAAAGAGCCTATATTAGGACAAGATGAGGAACTAGAAACCAGTTAAGCACAAGTACAACAAACACAAGGCGCTCCTATTTCGGTTTCTTATACACTTCCTGTTGAGACAGGATCTAGTGGTTAGGCCAATCTGTAGCTGAGAAGAGCTGTTAGAAAGAAGGTAGGCAGTACAGCCTGCTGGGGTGTGGAGAACAGAACTAAAGGTCAAGGCAGATTTTGGTGATACAAACTGGCTTGCCTCCTGGCTTCCTGGTTCTTGGAGATGTTGCCACATCTTTTCTTTGTTTTCTCTAGGCCTTAGACTTGAATTCAGGCCAATTCTAGCCCTGATTTCTACTCACAGAATCATCTAGAAACTCTTAACTAGTCCCTGAAGGCTTCCTCCTAATTTTTATTAATATTGATTCAGTTATTTCTATAGTACTATCATATTAGATGTTGGGAATTTATAGTAAGTCACCTTTGCCTTCTACAGACCACTGAGCAGGTAAGTCAAGTTGAACCCAAGACCTTTTAAGTATTGAATCATCCTAGTGGAATTCAATAAAATGTGTTGCGCTCTTTTTGTATGTGCCTAGCATCCTAGTTGCTGGTCTTACAAAGATGAGTATGTCATCATTCCTGTCTTCCAAAAACTTACTGCCTCACAGAAGAGAAACAGGTCTGTTTTCTAAAAGTCATTAGATAAAGTAGTAAATAAAATAGTTGTAGCAGATGGGGAGCAAATTGCGCCTTACTAGCATGGTCAGAGGAGGTCTGGAGATGGGGGACATATGAAGGGACTTCAACAAGTTTATGGAAAATGGAATCAAAATGTGAATTTATTTTGGTGCAAAAACTTTTGAAATCCATGCATAGTTTTCTTTTGTTTTTGTTTTTTAAATAATACATATGTTCCATGAACTTTTTAAAGACCTGCTGAAGTCCAGCCTGAGGAAGCAGTAAATGAAAAGGCAGAGGTGTGTTTAAAACACTGTGACTGAGTACAAAGTTCAGTGTAGTGGCAGGGGGCACTTGTGCCGTATCCTGGAAAGGAGCCAGCGACATGTTTACTCTGGAATTTACTTAGGCAGAGTTACACTTTTAGCAAGGTGAGAAGTACAGTATGTAGGTGACTAAAGGGATACAAGATTAGAACAGAAAGTCCAGTTAAGAGGCTTTTGCAATAATCTAGGTGAAAGATGTTGTGGATATTATCTACCTTAAGGCAAGCAGAGCTAGGATAGAAAGAAGAGGATTCAAAAGATAGTTAGGAAGTTGTAGAAATATGGTTTGTTGACTTTCTGAATGTGGGAGAAGGGGTAGGAGCTGCGTGTGACTCCTAGGTTTCTGGCTTGGAAATATGTGTACGTTGCTCCGACCAGACAAGATAGCAAATACGGGCTGAGGTGCAGGGATATGGGAGGTCAGTGGAAACATTAGAAAATCTGTGACAGACATCTGTGTCTAACTAAATTTCATTGCCTAATCTTTTTCAAGCACTTGAGTCAGTTTTCTCCAGAAGGTATGACTTGTATACATAGGACATTCTTTTTTTTTTTTTTTTTTTTTAAGAGTTTTGCTATAGGGTGTGTATCCTTGCCAGAGAGACAGAAAGTGAGAAATCACCCCTCATGGGAGAATGGCCAGATCTCAATCCCTTCTCCTCCATTTTCCTCTTAGGATTTTGGCACACACACACACACACACACACACACACACACGTGCCCAGAATGAGTTTGTAGTCACACACACACACACACACACACACACACACACGTGCCCAGAATGAGTTTTAAGTTGCTGGGTTGGGACTGAACCGTGGTTAAGTACACGGGAGTCTAGCGACGTAATCATTACGCCCTCTGCTGTCCCTAAGTAGGACATTCTGAATGGGAAATCACTGAACTCTGGGTATAAAGTAGAAGGTGAATGCGCCTCTTGAACTTGGGAACACTGGCACAAGGTAGGATCTCCAGCACATCGCCTTCGAGCTCCAACACTACCTAGCTTGCTCATAACTATTTTAACACCTTTTCTGTTGCTTCTCAAATGTATTATGTTATTATCTCCATCTCTTTTTCTATATTTTTCCCCACCCTAAGGATAAAAACATGCAACTGAGATTTCAAGGTGTTGAGAACTAAAGTATGCTACTACTATGGTTTATCCTTCATTTTGCCTGTGAGTGTAAGATTGGGCTCATGGGTAACAAGGCCTTAGACACATACCAGGAGTTTTAATTCTTGTTTTTGGTGGAGGAAAGTGTAGATAGGAATGGGAAAGGCAGACCACGTAAGGACATTTTGTACAGAGACAAATGACATGGAGGATGTCTCCTCTTCCCCAACTACCATCCCAACAACTTCTATGTGAAATAGCCTTCCTGGCCCAGCCATGGTGGCTCAGGCAGTAGCATATTTATCCGTAGGGCTGGAAGCCACATGGATGATTAAGGATTTGGATCCCTAGCCCACCTAGCAGGTATGTGGACACCCAAGATACCGACTAGCTAGAGGGTTGGGGGGTATTAAAATGTCAGGATATTCTGTAGAGGATGTGTCTGTCTCTGTGGCTCTATCTCTTTTTTGTCTCTATGTCTCTTTCTCTTGCACACCTACATGTGTAGATGTACATGAATTTTCTCTGGTCCTCTCTCCCATCAAATGAATAAAATTAATAAACTTTGAGAGAAAAAAGCCAAAATAGCCTTCCATATTTGAAAACAGCCATAGAGGCATTAATTTAATCATTCTTAGCTTTTTTCTAGGTTGTAACTTCTTTAAACTATATGTTGCTATTTCTAGAGGAATGATAAGAACTTAAACTGTATGATAAAGTTTTATTTAAAATATTATTTTCTGGGACCAGCAGGTGGCATAATAGTTATGTCGCTGGACTTCCACATTGCAAACTGTGGTTGGAGTCCCAGACCCAGAGGCTTGAAACATACCAGACACATGTGTGTACATTCCCAAAAATCCCAAGAGAAGAATGGAAGAGAAGGGATTGCAGTATGGCCATCCCCTCTGAGGCATGGTTTCTTACTTTCTGTCTCTGTCTCTCCAGAGAATGCACACACCCTATATCAAAAAATTCTAACCAAAAAAAAAGAGAATTATTTTCTTGGCTTCCAACTAAAACAAAACAGTAAATGCATTAAACAACCCCGATCTTTTTTGTTAAGTATCAGCTGCAACTTTAATGAACAAAACCAGCTTGAAACAGTATTGACGAAGAATGCAGTGCAACACAGACCTTTTTGTGTTTTTGTTAGGTTTTAGAGGCATTAAATCATTTCCTATGTTTCAATGTCTATGTACTGATTAAATGTTGATTATAATGAACTCAAATGACTTACCAATTTTAAAATGTTTATTTCCAGGAGAGGAAAATCCTCAGAATTTAAAGCTCATACAGCTCCAGTTCGAAGTGTGGACTTCTCTGCGGATGGCCAGTTATTAGCCACAGCTTCCGAAGACAAATCCATCAAAATATGGAACATGTATCGCCAGCGCTTCTTATATTCCCTGTATCGACACACACACTGGGTACGCTGTGCCAAGTAAGTGCAGACGATTTCATAACAAGATTTGCACATTTTAAAATTTCTACTGTGGTCACGTTTGTCCCCCAACCTCCACAAAAAGAGGTTGAGGGCACATTCATTAAGCTTATATTTACTGTGTGATTACTGTGTGGCAGGAACAGTAGTAAACAAAACAGCCTAATCCCCTGCGCTCACACAGTTTATCTTCTAGAGTCAGACAGGTGGAGGATGGACAGTGGATCAAGTGGCAGTGAGGGTTATGGGAGGAAACAACTGAGCTGGAAGAGGGGATTGTAGTTTTATTTAATTACAATTTTTTTTAAATGATTTTTGCTATAGAGCATGTATGCTTGACAGAGAGACAGAAAGTGAGAAATCACCCCTCGGGGGGATGGCCATGCTGCAGTCCTTTCTTCTCCATTCTCCTCTCGGGATTTTGGGCATGGACGTGCATGTGCCTGGTGTGCGTTTGAAGCCACCAGGTCCGGAACTTGAACTGTAGTCAACTACTCATGGCATTAAACCATTTCATATGTTTCAAAGTCTGTATACTGATTAAATGTTGATTAGCGGCATAGCCATTATGCCATCATCTGGTCCTGGGACTGTAGTTTTAAAAAGGATGTTGGGGAACTCCCTCATAGAAAGGGTGGCCTTTGAGCAGAGACATAAGGGAAGGAGGCTTCAAGATATCTGGGAAAGGAACCTCCTAGATAGAGGAAGTGGCTGTTTGTGGAAAAACAAAGAGGAGAGCCTGAGGAGTGGGAGAGCCCAGAGCCAGGTCAGAGACAGCTCTGATGTGAGGTGCCACTGGAGCAGGTCCTTCTCTCTGACTTACATCATAATTGCATCACCCAACTGCTGTGTGGAGAGCAGACTGTCAAAAGTCGGACCGGAAACAGGGAGACGGTCACGAAGAGGCGGTTATAGTTCTGTTCCCAGGATTGACCACAGTGGTAGAACAGGGGATCATGAGAAGAAGTTGGAGTCTATAATAGATAGAATCAGTCCTTGCTGTCACATTGAATGTGACAGAGAAGGAGAACAGTCCAGGAGGACTCCAGCATTGTCAGCAGCCATCCGTCAATAGACAGGTGCTATTGCAGTGCTATTGCAGGCGTTAGCATTACCTGTCAGCTACCAGCGTGGACTCCTTCCTGTTCATAAGACACTGCTAAAGTGCATATTTCATTCTGCATCAGAACTGCCTGCGAGGGAAGGGATGTTTGACTTCCTACATTTTCAGATGGGAAAAATGTTTCGAAGAGCTCAAGTTAGGACACATCTACTTGAAAAAAGGCAGTAACCCAAATACACTTTTTTGTCCCCTCCAAGTGGTTGATTGGCTGATGTGATTGATGACCATAGAGTGGGGCAGGGAAGGCTAGAACCAGGGTCTCCGCTGCTGGCTGGTCTCTGTATCTCGCCTCTGGGCCTCTCTGCATGCCGGCAGCTTCCTTCTCACCAACATGCCGGTGTGGAGGCCGTTGCCAGCGCCAAGCCGAGCTCCTCACACCATGACTGCAGAGGAAATCTTCCCTCTCAGCTCCATTTAAGAAAGTGCCCAGCATGAGTCCTGTGCTCTTGGCAGTGAGGTACTGTGGCTCCCTCAGTTTAGGTCAGGTGGCTAAGTGGAATCCATGATGCTGGCCAGGGAGGAGGGGATCACACCAACCATATGTGCTGAGTGTAGGGATAGAGGACAGTTCTCATAAAAAGGGAGTCTGGGGACCAGCAGTTAATGTAATGGCTATGTCATTGGACTCCCATGTAGTCGACTGCGGTTGGAGTCCCAGACCTGGTGACTTAAACTCATGCTGGGTGCATGAGCATGTGTGCCCAAGATCCCAAGAGGAGAATGGAGGAGAAGGAATTCTGGTGTGGCCATCCCCCCTGGGGGGTGATTTCTCACTTTCTGTCTCTCTGTCTTTCTCTGTCTTTCTGGCAAGTACATGCGCCCTATGGCAAAAGCCTCTCGAAAAAAAAAAAGGGAGTCTGACTCGGATGTGGTCATGGGTGGAGTGCATGACCCTCAGCCCCTCTGCTTTGTGGCTGCTGTATGGTGTGATGGGGCAGGTGTCCCCAGCCAGGATGTGGTGAGAGTTTGAGCCTAGATCTGTCTGCTTTGCCTCGCAGCCCATAGTCTTCACTGTTGTTACGATCTCAGTGGGACAGGTCAGCTCAGAAGGCATTGATTGTAACCTGTGGTAGGGAGCTTAAAAATAATAAAAAAGATACTGATAGATAGATCATACTTTCAGTTAATAGTTTCTTTCTTCTAAAGATATTGACTACTTACTAGCTCTGGTCATCTCAGTATTTTTCTACATATGCCACCTAACTATGTGGTTAAGCATATGGATGCTAAATACATAGGGTAAAACCCCAGCCCTGCTACTTATTAGCTGTATGGGCAACCTTTGGGCAAGTTACCTAACTTCTCAGTACCTTAGTTTTCTTACATGTAAAATTAGGATGATGAGGGACCAGCAGGTGGCATGGTGGTTAAGGTGTTGGACTCCCACATGACTGACTCTGTGGTTTGATTCCTGGACCCAGCAGCTTGAAAATCACACTGGGCTCATGTGCATGAGTGCCCAAAATTCGGAGAGGAGAATGGAGGAAAAGGGATTGTGGCATGGCCATACGCTCTAGTGGGTGATTTCTTACTTTTTCTTTCTTTCTCTGTCTCTCTCCTGAGAGCTCATGTGCTCTTTGGCAAAAGCCTAAAAAAAAATTTTTTTTTAAATTAGGATGATGATAATAGTAATGTTCCACAGAGGTTGTTACAGTATTTAAATGAGTAATGTATTGGTAGGACTTAGAATTGTGCCCCACATAGTAATAACTATTTAAATTTTAGCCATTGTTCTCAGCATCATTGGACATCTCATAAAGTTTTAAAGGTACCATGTAACTTCGGTTCATAATTTTTTTGTCCATTTAAGGAAATGATATGTATGATGGTTATGAGAGGTTGGTCAAATCATTTACATTTACTTATAAAACACTGTTGTAAATAAGAAGAGGAGACAAAGAACAGACAGGTGCAAGCAGCTGGGTGGGTACTAGAAAGTATTTAGCTATCACTATCAACCTCTCTGGATATGATTGGCAAAATAAACGTAAACCTCATCACTTGCTCAGCAGTAAGCAAAATCATTGAATATTGATTTAACAAAGCAAAACATAATGTCTCATTTATACTCTGACTGATAACAATAGGTGTTATTTATCCAATATATCTTATGTGCTTCCATTTCTTTCCAAGATGGCAGGGACCAGTAGTTAGTGTAATGGCTATGTCGCTGGACTCCCACGTAGTTGACTGTGGTTTGTGTCCCGGACCCGGTGGCTTAAAACTCACACCGGGCATGTGTGCGTGCATGCCCAAGATCCCAAGAGGAGAATGGAGAAGGAGGGATTGCGGCATGGCCATCCCCCCTGGGGGTTGATTTCTTGCTTTCTGTCTCTCTGTCTCTCTCTGTCTATCTGGTGAGCTCACGCGCCCTATAGCAAAAACCTCTTAAAAAAAAAAAAAAAGATGGCTTATAACTCAGTCCTGTGTATGAAGGGACTTCAAAATATTCAATGAAAAATCGAATTAAAGTATAAATTTTCTTTGGTCCAAAAAAAAAAAAAAATTGAAATCTATGCAGATTTTTTTTCTTCAAGTTTGGCTATAGGGCCTGGGCACTCACCTGAAACAGAGAAAGTGAGAAAACATCCTCCTCCCACCCCTGCCCAGGGGGGATCACTATGACACAATTCCTTCTCCTCCATTCTCCTCTCAGGATTCTGGATATGCATGTACATGTGCCCAGTATGTATTTCAAGCCACTGGGTCCTGCACTTAAACTGCACAGTTGGCCTGTGGGATCCAGCTGCCTTAATGACCATGTCACCAGCTGACTCTGCAGTTCCTTATAATAAGCATTCTCCATGAACTTTTTAGAGAACTCAAATATATATGTCAGTCATTGGAAGGAATGAGAAGACAATTTGACCAAGGACCATGTGTGCTTGATTAGTACAAATTCAGCCTAGTGTTTATCCTGAGCACCCTGCAGCTGAGGAACTCATGGGATGATAGAGCTGACAGAATTTCATTTTCTACTAATAAAAAGAATACTTGTTAAATCAGGGAAAATTTTTCCTGGAAGTGAATTCACTTTATTTATTGCCCTTTTACTGAATCATTTACATGAAATATAAATGTAAAAACAACAACAAAATGCTAAGTAAGACAGAAGAACTTAGGCAAAGTCACCAATAAGGGGAGATGGGTCTTAGCATATTCTGGTAATAACCATAACTACTGCTTTGTCCCACTTGTCTGTGTTAATTATGTTCAGATGAAAGACAGTCTTGGCTTCAAGGAGCTTATTGTTCAATAGAAAACAATAGGTACTGGGGCCAGCAGGTGGCATGGTGGTTAAGGGCGCTGGATTCCCACATGGCTGACCGCAGTTCAAGTCCTGGACTTGGTGGCTTGCTTTCTCACTTGCCCTCTCGCGCTTTCTCTCTCTCTCTCGCTCTGTCTTAATCTGGTCAAATGAAAATAAATAAGTAAATAAATAAAGTTAAATCAAATAATTCTTTTTAAAAAGAGAAAATAATAAATACTAACCAGCTATAGAGGGGTGTGAGCTATGGGAAAATGATAGACAGGTGATAAGGGAATGTTTGAGTGAGACTTCTAGGTTTGTGTAAGGAGACGAAAGCCAACCCAGGTCCAGAAGTGACAGAAGGAAAGAGGAAGAGGAGGCAGCAGTTCATTTATCATGTGGAAAGGGAGGGCAAACCATTCCTAGGAGAGATTCAGAAGGGGGAATCAGACCAGCATTGGTGTATAATTAAGGCAACTGAATCCCACATGGCTGACATCACAGTTGAGTCCTGGACTCGGTGGCTTAGAAAATACACCAAGCATGTGTTCATGTGTACCCCAAATCCCAGAAAGAGTGAGTTATGGAGTAGGGATTGTGGCATAACCATTCCCAAGAGGGGAGTAC